CAAGGGGGAAACCAGGCCGGATCGAACACCCGACCTCCAGGCTAGCTAGCAAGCGTCTTACCAACTTAGCCACGTGATCCCCATAATCATGTTAGATACAACAGGGTGCTAATTTTTTTTATTATAATGAAATGCGGTTTAACGTCCTACCGTTCTGCTCCGACTAGGATAATGAAGACGGACATACGCCATCAGGCTGCGGAGGGGCAGTTAATTTTTTTATGGGTGGGGGGGGGGGCAAACCCGACAGTCTACAGTAGGTATTTTTGAGCTATGGTCGGCAATTTCTTTTTTCGAGGGGGGGGGGGGGCAGTGAAGTTTTTAGGGGGCACACCCGGCAGTCTACAGTAGGTATTTTAGAGCTATATGGCCAGCAAAATTTTTTTTCGGGGAAGAGGGGGGTGCGGGTATATTGGACCTATGGTCGGCAAATTTTTTTTCGGGGGGGGGGGGCAGTGAAGTTTTTAGTGGGCACACCCGGCACAGTCTACAGTAGGTATTTTAGAGCTATATGGTCAGCATTTTTTTTTTTCGGGGAGGTTGGGCAGTGAAGTTATGGGGGGGGGGGGGGCACACACCCGGCACAGTCTACAGTAGGTATTTTAGAGCTATGGTCGGCAAATTTTTTTTCGAGGGGGGGGGGGGTGCAGTGAAGTTTTTAGGGGGCACACCCGGCACAGGCTACAGTAGGTATTTTAGAGCTATATGGTCAGCAAATGTTTCTTGGGGGGGGGGGGGCAGTGGAGTTTTTAGGGGGCACACCCGGTACAGTCTACAGTAGGTATTTTAGAGCTATATGGTCAGCAAATGTTTTTTCGGGGGGGGGGGGCAGTGGAATTTTAGGGGCCACACCCGCCACAGTCTACAGTAGGTATTTTAGAGCGGAAATTTTGCCCTGACAGTGGGCACGTAAATGTATACACTTGACCTCGGGTTTTCATCCCATCCAAAGGACTATACGTTGTCCCTTGCCAGACACTCGGTCCTGCACCACTGACACGATACACTTGACCTCGGGTTTTCATCCCATCCAAACGACTATACGTTGTCCCTTGCCAGACACTCGGTCCTGCACCACTGACACGATACACTTGACCTCGGGTTTTCATCCCATCCAAACGACTATACGTTGTCCCTTGCCAGACACTCGGTCCTGCACCACTGACACGGGGGAACCACGCCGGAAAACCCCGATGAACTTTCTCGGCCAATGCAGGGATCAAACACGCGACCTCCGGGTTAGCGTGCCAACGTCTCATCCGCTGGCTCCCTTATTTTTTGATTAAAGAGAAATGTGGTTTTAACGTCCTTTCGGTACACTTCTGGACTAGTATACAGTACGGTTTTATTTCAACAATTGTTTGCGCTAAAGGTTCTGTAGCAGTGGGAGGAAACCGGAGAAAACATTCACGGCGTCATGCTGGTTAACTTTGTGGGGGTGGAGCGAGGCAACAAAGGGTTATGGGCGAACACACCGACACCTTTGATGTCATTTATATAGATTATATGATCAAATTTGTGAAGAAAAATTCAATATATGTATCAAATATCAAAATCATAATGGATAAATAGGGCATAAAGGCTGATTCACAAACGACAAAGTAATAATTTTTAAAAAAAAACGTGCAGAATGCACTAAGCAGGCTAAAACGAATGCCGTTCAATTTGAACTGTTCACGTATTTCACTGAACATAATTGATGAGAAATTAAATTTTCCTTTTTCAAACTTTAGAACCAATTTTTTTTCTATTTCAAGCTTCCAAAACAAAATAGAGCCATACGCCCTTTAAATCAGTTTTCTATCAAAAAGTAGAATGGGGAATAAATGTCGACTAGTGACCTAGGTGCAGTGGGGTTTTTTTTCAAATTTTCATTCGATTGAAAAGCAAATTATTTTGCAGTGCAAATGTCTTGCCCAAAAGATTTTCCGACGTGATTCCTCCTTGTCAGTGATACGGGACGGGACGGGACGGGGTGGGGTGGGTGGGGGTGGCAAGGATAGTGCCTTGTAAACGTTGGTGTGCAGTTAAAAGAAACCCTTAACAGTTAAAATACAATTGCCGTCCGGGCAAAGTTACCGGCATAACACACTGTATAGCCAATCTGATTAAAATACATGTACAGATCTATAAGATCTGACCAGTTGATTTAGGAGGTCGCGTCAAAGGTCATACGAGCGACTTTTGACCTTATGGCGTCAACCAATCAGCATTTATGTTTCTAGTGGATTACCCACAGTTCCGTGCATCTCGCCTCAACAGACCGTTTCATTGGCTAATCCCTCACATCATCCAGAACACGTCAATGATAACAACTCTTCCAGATACTAATGTAGTAAAGTAAAACGAAATTTTGAACAATAAAAAACGAAACGAAATAGGATCTGTGTTTTAATCAGATTGACTGTATAGCGTATATTCGTCTTCATTATCCCGGTATGTTCAGAAAATTAGGAAGATAAACCACATTTCATTTATTTGACCAAAAGCTTGTATGTGAGGCTAGTCGTGGAGTGGGGATACACAAACTAAAGATAAAACGCCTCAAATTCATGAATAATCACCAAAATCCTGGCGGGAATTGTAAATTTTGGCCATTTACTTCTCCATACCCATAGAGCCAATAAAAGTCTTCATAGAAAATGTGGCCAACGGAACAGGAGAGAGAGGCTATAAATAAAACGAACTTGACAAGATCTGCTGGAATAGTTCGCAATGCGGAAGAATATAAAGGGAAGCAACTCCAGGATGAACGAAAAGGGCTCAGACTGGTAATTCTCTCCACGTTGACTTTATTGCTCAAGTTGTGCTTTTTCTTAACCGGAGATCTTAATATAACCACAAAAAGCTCATCATGTCTACATTACATGTATGTGATAAAGAATTGGAAGGTGGTTGACAAACTTTTTGCCTCAAAAAACATCTTCTCAATTCTACACCAAGACCATTCATAATGGGGGGTGTGGGGGAGGGAAAAGAAAGAAATCGAAATTAAGATTTTTGAAATTATATCAGTATTCGATGTACCTGCTGTCCTACTTAATTTGAATAAAAAGATTATGTCATGTTTTTTTGTTTTTTTACAAATTGCTGGGTAAGTACTTTAACATTTCTCACATCTTCAATAGAAGGCTTAATCTCGACTTAACTACATACATCTTATCAAGCCCTTCTCGTAATACCCCGCATATTTTGGCACTATTTTTGATTGGGTATAAGCCCAGCTTGTGATCCTATCAGATTCCTTCATTAAAAATATCGTTACAATTATCAAGTCTTATAGCTCAAATGTCTACATGTGACAATCGAGTTGCAAAGTTCAAGGTTCGATCCGGAGGGCCTAACAAGGACAGCTGTCTAGTCATTCGGATGAGACGAAAAACCGAGGTCCTGTGTACACATGCGCGTAAAAGATCCCTTGACAGTTGGAATTCGATATAAGAGTAGGCCGTAGTGCCGCTGTCCGGGCAAAATTTCCCTCATAGCACACTGTATGGCGTATGCCCGTCTTCATTAGCCCAGTTCGGAGCAAAACAGTAGGACGTTAAACTCCATTTCATTTCATTTCATTTCATTTCATTTCAAGGTTCGATCAATGTTAAGGTTGCTGGAAATCATACCTGATCAACAAAGAGTTTCTATGGAGGCCGCCATATTTGTTTACAGTGTGTTATGTGCGACGACCACTGATTGGACAATGCTAATTGATCACGTGTAAACACAACGAGCGCAAAATTTCGGGAATTGCCCAGTTCTGAAGCAACGGTTAGATGTTGTAAAACTCGCGATCGTTGCTTCAGGAACATGCATTTCTCAGTACTACTACTAGGCACTATACTTGAATCTTGTGGGCATACAATCAAGGAGTTAGACATGGGCCACAGACTAGACAACTTGTTGGTTCTCGATCTCTTGTCAGTGGTGCAGGATGGAGGGCATGATAAGGACAGCTGTCTAGTCGTTTGTATGGGACAAAAAACTGAGGTCCCGTTAATACATTGGCATGCACGTAAAAGATCCCTTGGCAGTTGAAATTCGGTATAGTGCCACTGCCCGAGCAAAATTTCCCTCATAGCAAGAGGAAACTGGAGGACCCAGAGAAAACCCATGACTCAGTGACAGACCTTATAGCTACGTCTACACTAGCAGCATTCACCGTCTACACTAGCCTTTTAAATCCCGGTTTTTTCCTAAAAGCCGGCTTTTTCAATTTCTCAATCGTAAAAGCCGGCTTTTTAAAATCCGGCAATTATTGAGGGATTTTTCAAAATCAAAAAGCCGGCTTTTTCAAAAAAACGGCAATTTTATGTGTGTAGACGGTAAATCCGGGATTTATCAAGTACCCGGATGTCATTCGTCCCGAGCTTCCGTACATTCATAACATTGGCATTGCTTCCGGTTCTAAGAAATTGCGGTAAATCTCAAATCCATCTATAGCCTAGCCTATTTAATTTCAACATGCCTAACCTAAAATGGGTTAACGAGGAGTGCTTATTGCTAATTGAGATTTGGGGGCGGGGGAACATTCAAGCTTTGTTTGATGGAACTGTCAAAGACAATAAAATTTACAGGGTTATATGCGCTGAATTAGCCGAAGCTGGCTTCTCTCGGCTTCTGTCAGCGATCTGCTATATTCCATAAGCTGGATATATAATTGCACCAAAGTAACCAAAGTAATCATTATTATTATATTATTATCTCTGCAAAATTGACTGAAGCCGATGGCGTAATAAATAAACCGGAAGTTCCACAAATAACGAAGGTCGGTGTTCATCGTCTTTTTCCGTTCAGTCAGTGTAGACGCTACACTTGAAAAAGCTGGGTTTTGAAAAAACCGGGTTTTTAAAAAGCCGGCTTTTTCAAGCCTAGTGTAGACGAAGCTTATGATACAGCCCCCACGCCCTAATCATTTGGCCATCCCCCCCACATAACACACTGTATGGTGTGTGCCCATCTTCATTAGCCCAGTTGAAGCAGAACAGTAGGACGTTAAACCCCATTTCATTTTATTTCTCAATCTCACACAAACGCCAGTTTTAATGAGAGTTATCTAATGAATTGTAAGTTTGAGAATTTATCAAAAAGAAAATTAAATCTGCCTCTTTTACATTATTTCCAAAATAAAAGTCTGTGTCTAGTAAAAGCTTCATCATGATATTACCGCATTAGATAAGGCTCATAAACCTGTGGGGAAAAACACATTTACATTTATGAATTAGGATTAACTATGGGTTTGTCTTTCATCTGTAAACTGTTGTATATACTTTGATAAATCGTTTCGAGATCTTTGAAAACTCTCAAATTTGTCCCTACGTTTTTGTTCCGACATTTCGGGATTCTCTGGTGGAACTAATCCAGAGAACATTTTATAATACACAATTGTTGAGTCTACATTATACACTGCAAGTGTTAAACAGTTTGTTTCTACATTTTCTAACTTTATTGCTGAAAAATACATCTTCATATCTGCTGGACTGATTTGGCTATAGATGTCTGTAGGTAAAATCAATTCTGTTTGACCCTTCTTTGATGACCGTCCAGAGAGAAATACCAAATTCATTTCACGGCAGTGGTGAGTTCTGACATCAAACCAGTTCCGAACTTCGCACAAATCTAAGAAAACCCGAATCGCCATCATAACTTGATCCTCATTTTGAGGGCACCAGGATATCGCCTCGACATATTTTGGGTGGTCACGAAGGTCTGGGTAACCCGCCATTTAGTCCGTATAAAACAAACACACGAAACAACAAAAGTAATAATGACTAATTTATTGATGTGTGGGAGCCGCCATTTCGGAACACAATTTGCGGATCGTTAAATACTTGGGAATAGTCAATTTTTTTTCTTCACCATTACAATTGAAAATCATATCTCATTTCTATAACAACGGTTATAAATGGTATTTTCCTGTATGTGAATATGTATATGGATTGTTATATCAAATATTTCCGAAATAAAGATACTTTCTAGAAATTAACATGGTGTCTCGACACGACTGATTAATTAGTCAATCCGTAATGTACTGTAATCAAGGGAAGTAACCTAAATTAATGGATTTACCTCCCTTGCACTGGGAACACGCGTCATGAGATTCAATTTCAATAAATTTCTTGGGAAGATTAGCGATTTCTAATATTTAAAAAATATATATATATTTAATAAATTTGATTACTAACCTTCGTCTTTAATAACCAACCATTTCTTCTCAACGGCTTTAAAAGGGAGTCTGATTGTAATGGATTTACCTCCCTTCCACCAATGAAGAAGACTTAATTCCAGCAAAAAATTGCCCCCCAAAAAATTTATTTTCGGTCAATGAAAAATTCGACGACCTTTTTTTTTCTATTAACGTTTAGAGAAAAAATATAACTAACTTATTTCTATGAGATCCACACTGCCCGAAAAGTATTTTCTCGTCTTTTTCTTGTCCACTGCATATGCCCGAAAATATGCCCGAAGCTCTCTTATGATAGGTATGCCCGAAAAAACGGTATTGCCCGAAAATAGGTATTGCCCGAAAAACGGGCATCGGGCCGGAAAGCGGCAGAGGAAACTAGCAGTAAAACGCGTTTGCGACCGTCAAATATTCCAAAATTTTCTTGGTCGGTCATTCGCCTCTCAAAGAAAACGGCGCCGCTGTCTATAAATCCGAAATTTTTCGGGCATTTCTAGTTTTGCTTCCCTAACTGTCACCGAGCCCTAATAAAACACTAATTTTACTTTTCTTGTAATTGAATATCACGAATTTGTACTGAGTTGACTATGGATTAAAACATTTTGTCTGGAGCCACTCTACTTTGTGCGACATTTTTCGGGCATCGATTATTATTTGTGAATGCAGATGCAACAGTCTGATTGGATGGTTAGAATTCAGAGTGGGATTTCAGTTACAAAACCATTGGACACTTTTGGAGTTGCTTACACGAGCTAGAATAGCAGAAAACGCATTTACGATGATTAAATTTTCAAATTTTTCTCCGGGAGGGTGAGGCCTCCATATACCGCGCGACGATTGATTGGTTGTTTGGAATTCGGGTCAGCCAAGTAGGCTATATTGGACCAAATTGAAGTTGCTGTATTCCCAGACTGGAATAACAGGAAAACGTGTTTGCGGCAGTTACATTTTCAAAATTTTCTCCCAACGGTACCGTCCTCAATGACTGTAAACGATTGATTGGAATTCGAGTCAGCCACCTTAATAAGGCTATGATATATATTCGACCACTTTGAAGTTGCTTTGTTCACCGGCTGAAATAGCAGGAAAACGCGTTTGCGACAGTTAAATTTTCAATATTTTATCCTAATGGTCCCGTCTTCGAGGACTGTAAACGATTGATTGGAATTCGAGTCAGCCACCTTAATTAGGCTATATTAGACCGCTTGAAGTTGCTTTGTTCACTGGCTGAAATATCGGGAAAACGCGTTTGCGGCAGTTAAATTTTCAAAATTTACTCCTAACGGTCCCGTCTTCGAGGACTGTAAACGATTGATTGGAATTCCGAGTCAGCCACCTTAATTAGGCTATATAAGACCATTTTGAAGTTGATTTGTTCAACGGCTGCAATAGCAGGAAAAAGTGTTTGCAGCCGTCAAATATTCCAAAATTGTCTTTGGGGGGGGGGGTATACAAGGTCGCTGCTGTCTGTAAACCCGAAGTTTGTTTTCAATCACAGGTCACAAATTATTGAAAACAGCATCAATCCCGTTAGGCCTAGACAATTTTTTAACGTGTTCGTTTTATCTCTCGGTATACGGACATACGTTCCAACCCTACATGGAAGACTATTGTAGATTTTTTGCTCTTTAAATTAATAATAGAATTATATTATATCTGTAACTAATTATTGGTGTTAGATGATTATGCCCTAGATATTATGGCCTGGGATAAACACGTCTGTCATATGTCCATGTTGTTGTCAAGATTTATATTTAATTGTTTTCAGTAATTGGGAAAATAACTGATGTAAAGTTTATGGAGTCAAGGATAATTTATTGTGTAAAATACACGTGATTGGAAATTTACTAATTGCATCATACACTGTAACCATCCAATCATATCAGTAATTGCACAGATTCAAGGCCATGCATAGTCTGATCTGTGCGTGATGTCCATATGGGTCCTATAAAATAGACCCTGCAAGGCCTTTAAGATCAGATATCATTGGGTTCCGGACAGATACCACCTGAGTTCCTAGAGACTGCCTTTGAATTCTCAGAGAGAGTAGACATCGCATTGGTTCTTTAGAAGACCATGTGATGTAGTCGTTAACCTTTTACAGGTGTTGGGGTTGAGAGAAAGATGTTAATTATAAGTATGCTAATGTAATCTATTATGCATTGTAACCATATGTATCCGGCTTGATATAAAATGTAGAACAGAAATGATGCCTTGTTATTTCTGGTAAGATAAACGCCTTAACTACTGAGATAGTAGTATGAAGGAAATACACAACGTGCAAGGGAACCCAAAGAAGAAAATTACACATATTAGACGATCACAAGGATATTAAGAATTAAGATATGTAGTAAGAAGAGAGTGCATGGGTCATACGTGGGGTGTGGTGACCGGATTTGAGGGTCCGCTTTCCACGTCTGACAAAAGACTCATGGTACTACATACAAGCGTTATATTACAAGGAAATTAAACTAGGCTAAAGTGGTATACGTACGACATAACGTCATTGCTCTATTTTATAATAGAAAATCGAATATTTGAGTTACATTGGGTACAAATACAATTCAATAAATAGAACAAAAATAATCCATATCAACCTGGGCCAAACGGATTGAATAATGTCAAACGAATTTTAATGGGGTTTAACGTCATACTTTTCTGTAATTCGAAATGCGCTGTGCTCTTTGCCGGGTCCTCTGTCCTACACCACGCTGAAAATGCCGAATAGCGCCCTATGCCAATACCGGGATCGAACCTGGACCATTCTTTGTTAGTGAGCCTTACAATTTTATTCGTACACAAAATACCGTATTGAAATGGAAGACGGTTCTTTTACAAATTAATTTCCTTTATAGAGAAAAATGGTATGCCGCGGATCCAAATTGCAGCATAGCTCGTGAATAATCTCTATATTTTTTAAGCCCAACTCCAACTTCAAGCCCCTTATACCAATTTTAGACGGGACTAAAACATGGTTCAATAATTCGGTTGCGCGTAGTAGGGGTCGTTAGCAGTGGGGGGGGGGGACCCGGAGACCACCCACGGGGTTGGACATGCCACTTTTCTCCTTGTCACGTACAACCGTCGAATCGAAACCCCACCAGTTGACTCAATAACGGCTCATATGATACAGCGCGCACGTGCTAACCATTCGCCCCCACCACCCCACCGCTCCACCCCCCACACCACCAGCCTAGGAATTCAAAGACAAGTAGGCTGTAGCGCCACTGTCCGGGTAAAATCTCCCACGTAGCACATTGTATGGCGTACGCCAGTCTTCATTTGTTCAATCGATGCAGAAAAGTAGGACGTTAAATCCCATTTAATTTTTATTTCCTTTCTTTGGTACCTTATCTATATAACAATCTACTACTTTTTTAGTTTCTAATTTTCTATTTTGGTATTTTAAAGATACAAAAACAAATAGCAATCATATATATATTTAAATTTCTGAAAAGAATCTCGCATTTTATCTATCCATGTGTTTTCAAATGTTAAAAATATTCGAAATAAAATGGATTTAGATATATATCTTGAAGGAAGATTTATCGCCATTGCTTGTGAAGAAGTAACATTTTGCTGTTAATATCCCGTTAATTAAAGATTTTATTGAGTTTGTGTAATGCGTGTATGGATTACATATAAACAAACGAGGAGAAGATAGTGAACCTGATACATATCTAATAACCAAGATATTATGTGCACGGGTCTTTAACGGGTGTCTTATCTGTAATGAGATCCTGACAAGTGAAGCAACTTGGACTAATTTATACAACTTGTTAAGCCTCACTTGGTTCCCTTTAATACGGTTCATCCGCACTCTATCTGTCTCATAAAGTCAAACTGTGATCAACACGAGTTGACCCACGGCATTTTATTGGTAAAACCGCGGCAAATATACACATTGGGTTATTAGCATATTAATGAAAAGGATGAATAGGCCGCTATCTCGTAACAACTTGATGGTTGTCGAATGCTTAATTCTCCATTACTGATTATGAAGAGGTAGAGAAGAAGTTTATTATCGCGCTTGATAATCTGTCTTGTGAAATTGAGAACGGATGCGATATCCATGTGGTTGAAATTTATACAGCCATGAACACGAGTCGCGTGGCACCCTGGGGGCACGTTCCACACCGGTGATGATGATGCACATTGCGTCTAGTGGAGGCAGCTGCTTGATTAAGCAGATCTTAGCAAGTTTTCTCATTATTACCCTATTATCTGAAAGAGAGCTGGAGAGGTCTGCTATTTGAGGTTATCTAAATTCCATTCTCCCCCTTTATATTCTTAATGGGCTACGGAAGAAAGATAATGATAAATGAAAACGGCTGGAAAAGGGTACAAATGATTACAGATACTTTTTTCATACACAGAAACTTTTATTTTCTAAACATTGAGAGAATTAAAAAAAAATAGAGTTGATGTTTTTTGTGTGTAAATATTTTACCGCTCGCTTTGTTTGATATTGTAAAATAAACAAAGACTTTTAAAGAAATGTATTTGACAGAATTCAAATTAATTTCTAAGGAACTCAAGGATATAATTACTGGTGTGTATTTTTTGTTCATCGCGTCATAGAATCGTGCACGATATTATCCATTATTATTCATATCTATTATTTCTCTATAAAAGAGTTAGAAATCAG